AAAAACTAATCTTTAATCCACTTGAGGGTAATAACGACCAAGTATTGGTTTAAGTTGATTTTTTAAATTTAAGCTTTATTTGCCAGTAAAGGGAAGACACGAGTATATAGTAAATTTATGTACAGTTGGTATCTTAATTGGATTTGTGAGTTTCTTTGTTAGGAAGGTGTTGGTAATGTTTTCTAATAAGTGTTGTGGATAGCAGTTACGTTTCAGGATGTCATGTAAGAAAGAAATTTCAGAGTGTAGATTAAGATATGTGGAGCACAGGTTGTAAGCTCTGTTTAGTATACATGTAACGAACACATCCTTCGAACACATCGATTGCTAACATAACAAGAGACTGTAACGGACGTCCATATGTTTTTAACACACAAGCATTTTTTTTTACCATTAGGAGAGATATTTTGATGCTCTTTCTTTACTTGATTCTAGTAGAAGTTTTCAAACTAAAATTGAAACAAAATATAAATATTAAAGATTGGTAACCCTTACATTACCATAACATGCAGAAGATATATTGTTCTTTAAGAAAATTCAGTATTGTCTTTACTATCCATGCCCCCAGTGGTACAGCAATATATCCGCGGCCTTTTAACGCTAGAAACCGGATTTCAATACTCGTGGTGGGCACAGCATCGATAACCCATTGTATAGCTTTGTGCTTTAACTATAAACAAAGAGTCCCTGTCCATTTTAAGTATTTACAATATCTTAGTATTTTTTTACAATCCATGGTAGACAAAATGACATGTGACTATTTTTCCGTATACTTAACTTTTTTAGTCTTTTTTTTTATGAGTTACTAAAACATATATACCAAATATTTTTTTTATTTGTTATTTTTATGATCCTCTCATAAGTAATTATATTTTTATTTTATTTATTACTATATGAGCGTTTAGTCATGAGTTGAATTTTTCCTCCAGCAATTGATTCAATAAATGCTTTATTTTCTTTAAAGCTTCCACCAATTATATTAGTTTTTATTCATTAAGAATCTGTTGCTGTTGTTTTCTTTGTACAAAGCTACCCAATGGGCTATCTGTCCTCTGTCCACAGAGGGAAATCGAATTCCGGATTTTTGCGTTATAAGTTCATAAATCTACCACTGAGTCACAGGGGACTTACCCATTAAGTATTGTTACGTATCTGCTTGTTTGTTAATTTCCGGTAGAAATTCTTTCCGAGGATCTTCAGCGATACAACTCCTTTCTTGATCAAACCAGTTTATTCTTCCTCGATACAAACTTTTAGTACACAGTAGTTCTACAATCAGTA